TTATAGAATTCTGTTTTGAAGTATACATATTTTGATATCAGTAGATAGCTGAGGATCTGCAGATTCCGAATATGTGCTTTTGAATCGTTTAACATAGCTAAGCGAACAAATAATCAAGATTTCATGCATATGTGTCACTTTCCTGTTATCTGTTATGCACCTCTTGTGGCCTGGTTTCTCCTCGAAAGATTGGATATCAAAATAGACATTTATACACCATTCGATAGAGAATTTCAAGAGCTATATTTTGCACTATTTATATTTAAAAAATGAAAAATTTTGATTTTTCGCCAAATTTCCGCTTGGATGCCCACTGTGGGTCAGCCTCCGTTGTTCTTGAAGAAAGTTTACGACGAAAAGGTGTGTAGGAGGAGGACGAAGAATTGCTCATTTAGAAAAATTCAGATGGGTGAGCTGAGTATGAGTTGTAAAAGTCGTCGTCTTCAGACCTAAACTAATAACCATAATTCAGTCTTGGTTCTTTTCTAAAGCCTCAGTGAGGTGAAAATCACGGAACTTTATTTATGCGAAAATCAAAGAAAATCATTCAAAAAAGTATTGTCTTGGATCTCTCAGTTTTTTAACAGATAGAAGTTGATTTCCATTGCAACACACCAAGTTTTGAAATGTCCTGCTCAAATTGTGCGAGAGTAGCAGGTGCGCTGTTAAACTGCAATGTTGTAGTATTGGAATCAAAGTTCAACGACTTATATTCACGTCGCAACATTTTGTAACTATTCAGTAAATCATCTTTCACCTTCAATATGTGAATGTTATTGTTTCTCTCGACAAGTTCTCTTGTACAATGATTTATCAGGTCAACTGAATTCATTTTATTTCTTATATATTGGTTTTGGTTTTGAAGTGCACTGATTTCAGCACGTTCATCATCATCAATTTGTTTGATTAATACTTGCTTTCGCATATCTAGTAGTGTTTGCATTCGAGAAATAGTATGTTCGATTGCATTTCTTGTGTTTTCATTTTCCTTTTGTTGCACTTTCACTTTTTCTTCGGAGATTCTATTTAGATGTTGTAAGTCTTGTTTCATTGTTCTCATTTCCCTCAACTTCCTTTCCATTAAGGCTTTTGCCTCTGTAGCAGCCTCCTGTACCCTCACGAACTCATGCTCTTTATGTTCGAAATTCAGACAGTCTTGGCAGACAAGGGTTTCGCAACTGTAACACCAACCTTTGATCTTTTCATCTGGATGAACTGTGCAAAATGATGATGATTTTTCGGCAATAGGAACTGAAACATGTGATTGGAATACTTTCAGCAAATGAACTTCCCTGACACATAACGAGCAATAATGCTTCACGCATTTCTCACACCAATGTAACGCTGTTTTGTCAGAGCAATTATCACAACTAACTTGCTGTTGGCCACGAGCGGTGGAAGACATATTCATTTTTGAAAATAATTCAACCATGTCTTTTACTGCTCTATTCAATGGTAAACCGATAACATCACTTTCACGTATGCTTGTGCCGTCTTTGAAAGGACACGCGCAATACGCATTATGAGCTAGCCGTTTAATACATTGGAGGCAAAACGTGTGAGAACAAGGTAGAAGGCGTGGATCTTGGTAATAATCCAAACAAATACTACAGGTAACAAGATGTTGCATTTCTTTATTGTTTTGATCATTGGATGATACTTCCTTTTCTAATAAAAAATAAACTCAGCTAAGGATTCAGTTGTGTTACAGTATAAATAAACCCCTCAGAATATCATTCCAAGCTTACGTACACACCTGTATTCGCGTTGTTATTATAACTTCCACATGCTGTCTTAGGAATTTGGCTTCTTTCAGTTGATATCCCTTGCGGTGATGATTCTTGTTCACGTCTGTCATTCATATGGAAAGATACTGATCGTGAAAGACACGGTATAGTACTAAAATCTGAACCGTACCGAGGCTGCCAAGCAGTCGGCATTAGGTACAGTTCAGAGATTTCTGATGGAGCAAAGTCCGCTGGTCGTCGTTGCCGACCATATCGTGGTGGTGCTTTTGGTAACACTTCTTGTTGCTGTTGCTGCCGACGTGCGAGTAAAACTGGAGCTTTAAAACAGCAAAAAACGTTAGAAAGTTAGATTGTAAACGGAAAATAGAAAATGCTAGAAAAACAATTTAATGCACAATAACATTCGCAACTTTTCAAACACTCTGGAAAGAAACCAAACACCATTGGATAATATCCGATAAGTCATTAAAGAGTTTATAAAACAGCTCTATAAAATTATGGAATCACAAACGTATGGTTGCTGCATGGCAATGAAAGAGAGCATATCGAATGTTAATAGAGTTCAGTACAGATGCCAATGATAACTCACTATGAAATTTCAAAGGTCGAAGTAATTCAACGTTACATACCGCCGCTCTTGGTCCTGGTTCTGACTAGTCCCTTGTCGTTTTGGAATTCCATAGATCTAGCCCAGCTCATGGCTTTCTTACGATTTTGCCTGTTAAACGCACAAATAGAAGACGACGTTAGCTAATTTCACACATTGAAAATTTTGACTTCAGAATTTTTTCGCTAAGAATGATGCTGTAAATTTTGTTACTCTACTTTACGCTAGACAATTTCATTAGTAACCATCTTCTTGATTACGTTAATGGACCGATATGGTCTTAGAGAAAGAGAAGATTACGGCCATAACTGCAGCTTTAAACATCATATATTTATTTCAATACTAACGTCAACGTTTCACTGTTTCGAACAGCATTTGCTGAATTTTCAGCAGCTGAATGCTGAATTGAAAATGCTGTTCGAAACAGTGAAACGTTGACGTTAGTATTGAAATAAATATATGATGTTTAAAGCTGCTGTTATCGCAATAATCTTCTTGTTCAAATTATTACCCATTACTAATACGAATTATCTTAGAGAAAGGGTTAGTATAATATGAATTAGTGCTACACACTGATGAATAAATATTTTATCCATACCTGTATTGTGCAAATTATGTAACTACACTTTTTAATCCACTATAGATCAGAATGTTTCGAATGCATAATAAATATTTTTTGTATCAAATAAAGGTAATCGAACCTACAGTTGGATAAACCATGTGAATGCACGTATAATGACTAATGAATATTTTTGTTGGAAAAACAAACACACATTGTTACTTAAAACACACTTGATGGAACAGAGAGAAAAAAGAAATATTGTTGAATTCGTCATCTTTTTCACACAGAATGAAATCAATCATTTCATTCAAAAGAGTAATCATACTTTTTAATCATGTTGGAAGTGTAAAAGGTGAACAGGTGGAAGAGAAAAGCAACGTCAGTGAATAGCTTCCACATCGCCTATATGTCCATCACTTCCTTCATTCATGGAGATTTGTCGTCCGCCCTAACATAAAATATACATTTAATAATACTACGCCCGTTAAAGCAGTGCCATGGCGATTTTGCTAGATGGTCTGAGCGCTAGTTAAAAGTTTAGAAATTAGCTAAATATAAAATTCAACGCAGTTTTGAAAAGTTCGTTGACTGAGCCAACCTCTGGTCAGATTTCTCTATTCCCCACTATACGCTGCTTGCTGTATAAATATTTGTAATAGTTTAACTTTTTTTTGATGTAGAAGTTGTGATTATATGTCGGATAGGGATAATCATCACATAATGCAATGGTTGAAAGGTGCCAAAGAACATATGGTTGTTGCTGGTGAACTAGGTCAAGGGAACCCCTGGTCAACTCTCTCCTTCAAAGTCCGCGGAGACTCCCCGAAAAATGCATAATCCCTGGGGACCTTCGGTGGCTGATATGTGCTACACTGGTACCAGTGATAATACCTGGCACTTAATTACTAATTGGTTATATGAAATTAAAAAAAGATGAACCAATAGACCTACAGGGATACCCCAGGGAGGCGCTGGGGACTCCCATAAAAATTATTTAACAGTATTTGATTCATCAGATGAATGTACTGATTATAAGGTGCCGGCAATGCGAATTTCGAGTGAAATTTTTTTTTTGCTTTTTTTTACACCATTTGATAGAGTGTGAGCTGCTGATCACGAGAAAAACACATCTTTTTCGAAATGTGCAAAATTTTCTACTTTATTCATTTTTTCGGCTTCTGAAAAGAATTTTTTCAGATTCAGCATCAAAAACTGAGTACAGACAAGTCATGAAATCGACTCTAGACTCAAAACTCTATTGTTGGTGTGGCGCTTCGAATCGCGTCGACCTTTTCTTGAAAGAACAGTTTTTCTTATTTCAATCGAGATTTCATGATCTTTACTCGACAGATTGATCTGTCATCATGCTTTTCTATATAATATCAACGAAAACGTGCAGAATAAAAGTATTGCAATAGAAAATATATGTTCATTAATGTTCGTTTATGTTTGTACTTGATATTCTACGATGTGATTGAATTGATGTTTTGCAGAGTTGACTGAAAAACAGTTTTAATACATCAGCATATGTCTGACCTTGCGAATATGCTTCGATTGAACGCCAGAAACGCCGGAATAATTTTAATGCAATTTTTCGTTCGACAAAATGTGTCCGAGAATCCGATATTAGTTTTATCATTTTTTCAAAACTTTGATCTGTACGTGAACGAATAAATGCCTTTTGATTGCACCAAAGACCTTCAATTGCGTTTAGTTCACAATGATATTTAGGACAGTATATAATCTTGACGTTATATTTGATCGCCAGCATCTCAAGTTTTGTAACCTAGACAATAGAGTAAAATATATAGAACGGAATTACTTACTTATCTTTAAAAATATGAAATGATATCCACTTACATTGTGAAACGCTCGATGTTTTGAAAGTATTTCAAGAATTTTATCTAATTTAACTTTAGCTGGTAGTTTTACACCTAAATCTTTATATAGTTCAAGTAAACCTTTTGATTTATCCTTATTTGCGCCGTGTTTAAAATAACAATCAATAACTTTTGTTGCACCATTTTCATCGACATATTCGATTGTTTCAACCGGACACCGAGAACCAATATTTTTACCAAAATCTTGTAATGAATATGCTTTAGTAGTGTGTGTTCTTGCGTTGTCTACAACGATTTTGTGACTGGTGGTATGATGAGTCGAATGAGATAAAATATTTGGCTCCATCACGTATGCAGAAAAACTAGATAGGGTTACAAAATCGACCTATACGCGTCTCGTTCGACGCGATTCGAAGCGCCACCAACAATAGAGTTTTGAGTCTAGAGTCAATTTCATGACTTGTCTGTACTCAGTTTTTGATGCTGAATCTGAAAAAATTCTTTTCAGAAGCCGAAAAAATGAACAAAGTAGAAAATTTTGCACATTTCGAAAAAGATGTGTTTTTCTCGAAAAATGGCATCTTCGCAGTATTTCGTATTTTTCGACCGGAAGGAAGTATTTGCTAAAGCTAAAAAGTAGTTTTTCGTGATCAGCAGCTCACACTCTATCAAATGGTGTAAAAAAAGCAAAAAAAAAAATTTCACTCGAAATTCGCATTGCCGGCACCTTATAATCAGTACATTCATCTGATGAATCAAATACTTTTAAATAATCAATAGTGTGACGTGGACGATATTATGTATCTGAACAATCATCAGTTTTATTTACATTTTAATTAAGCCATATAACCGTGAAATGTTCCAAATTAAGATCATTTTGTTTAGCTATAGCTAAGAATAGGCGGCGATCGTAGGAATAAACGACTACACTGTAAAAAATAGTCGTAGATTAATAAACTATCAAAAAGGGTTTATTGGGACCAATAAACCTTTTAAAAAACGCTTTTCCGTTTTTTATATCCAAAAAACTAAAAAGCGTTCGTGACAGATGCAAAATGAAAAACGGGCGGTTTTTTATCAAAAATAAAAAACCCTTTTCAGTTTTTGTCGAGTTTAAAATACCAGCTAAAAATCTCTTCAGTTTTTTGTCGAGTCTAAAAAACTAGCTAAAAAGCTGAAGAGTTTTTCAGCTGGTATTTTAAACTCGACAAAAACTGAAAAGGGTTTTTTATTTTTGATAAAAAACCGCCCGTTTCTCATTTTGCATCTGTCACGAACGCTTTTTAGTTTTTTGGATATAAAAAACGGAAAAGCGTTTTTTAAAAGGTTTATTGG